ACATTTTAAGATTTTCAATATAAAATAATTCTCTAATAGGTAGTATTTGATATATATATATATATATATATATATATATATATATATATATATATATATATATGTCTGTGTGTGTGAGCTCAACAGTTTTCTTGTCTAATTAATGGGAATTTGAATCCTCTTGCAACTGCCTGAGAAAATTTTATTTATAATTACTCGATGCAGGTGAAACGGGAGACTACATGTATCGGGTGATAAAATATGAATTGTTTTATGAAGTCAAGAATGGTGATAAATTATGAATTTTTTTTTTTTTTTTCAATAAAAAAAAAAAGAATGGGAGAGAATTCTCAAATTGATAAAAACAAACAAACTAATAAACAGTCTCTTGTCTAATTCCTATTTTTGTGCTTGTGGCCCTTTTTTTTTTTTTTTTTCATACTTCATTTCTGAGTTATGGGCCTTACCCTTTTTTTGTGTTTGAGCTTTTTGTAAGAAGTATATTTGCGCGCGCACGTGATTATTGTGAATTCTCAGATGTAGTAGAATTCAAACTCTTATAAATTATACTATACATTTTTCTAAAAGCCTAACAAAGGACAAGGAAAAGAAAGTAAAAAGAATATGCTAACAAAAGAAATTATGAAATAGAAAATAAGATGAAATTCGTCTTCAACAAAGACAAATAGATTTCATATAAGTGATAAGTAAGAGCTGTGAATTGTATTTTGTACAATACTTTTATAATTTTTTTTTGAGCCACTTTGATTCCACAACTATTTGACGCTAATATGAGTACGATAATATATTGTTTTTTTAACAAGAAATCGGGTAAGCCTTCTCATTACTTTGCATAATATGGGTTATATTGTTCTTTAATATACTTATTTCTTTTTCATTTTTTTAGTTATAAAGAATGATTATTTTGCTTTTTATAATTAAGTCTTCTATCTATAATATGCTCACGACAATATGTGAATTTGGATAAAAGAAGTTCAAATATATATATATATATATATATATATATATATATATATAAATTAGATAAAAATAAATAAATAACTAAGTTTTCTAACAACATTGGTCAATACACAATCTATATATATACACCACACACAATGAAATTTCCTAAAATCAAAATTGTGGATTTTTTAAATTAAAAAAAAAATCTGTTTTTTTATTTAAACAGATAATTTAAATTAAGTGAAGCTGCTTTACAGCCCATAGGTGGCCCCAATTTGCAACATTTATTAATATTAATAGAAGGGTCATCATAAACAAGGCAAGTCTACTACGCAGCCATCATTATCCTCATAAAATCACACTTTATAAGTAACCAATTATTAAAAGCCTAATATAAATCAAATAAGCGTAATTAATACATATAATAAAATATAAAAGAAGACACTTTTGCGTGTCCGAAATGTATTACAAATGATTTAAAGTGCCACTTTGTTTTCTACACTGATGACAAACTACATTTCTGTCTAATTAAAGTCTAATCTTCTTTTTAAAACTTCAACCCTACACATAATTTATATTCACACATATACTCCGAATGTACATATATATATATATATATATGCGTGTGTGTGTTTGTTTAACACTTGTGTGTGTCTACTGTTGGATGGCAATAATGGACCATCATCACCACCTCCATACCACCAACAATCTTCAAACATTTATTGGAATCTATTGTGGATAGTCAATTAAATGATTACTTGGTGCAAATCAGGAGCGTTACACATCTTTAATAAGTAAATAATAATGTTTTGACTAAATGAAGTTAATAATAATTTACTACAACAGAACACATGACACAACATGCATTAATACCAACTCAAGGACTTGCGTCAAAGATAAAAGAAACAGTTGGTCATACAGTTTACCAACTATCTTATAATATTTAGTAATTTAGCACAAAAAATGTTTATTTATTTTTCAGAAAATTTGATTGAGTTGGTAAACAACTCAGCATGTTGTATTAGGAAAAGAAAAAACATTGCACTTAAAAGATAAAGCCCAAGTTTGATATGACTAATATATATATATATATATATATATATATATTTTTTTTTTTTTATATTTCCCAATAAATGTCTTCATATATTGTATGAAAAAAAAACATAGTTGTGACATCTTAGAAACTTAAGAAGGAATTTAATTTAATATTGTTCAATAAACTTCTATCAATTATTGTCTTTCAAATGTTATGATGGAGTATAAGGATAGATTAATCCACATATACTCCTAAAGTACAAATAAGATGCATGTTAATTTGTTTTCTAGAAAAAATATGAAAAAATCACTCCAACTTTTTCATATCTGCAAATAAATTTCATGGATAATTTATAATTTGGCGAATAAAGCTCTAAATTGTTGTTGCCATTATCATTATTATTTTTGTTAAAAATTGAGGAAAATGATATATGTTTTCATCAATACGCATTTCTCTTTGAATCAAATTAGTCCCGTGTAAATAATTATGAAGAGATATATTTTTGGGATGGGAAAATGCAATAAAATATTATGGGATCTTAATTCAATTCTGAATAATTTTTAATTTCAAAATTAATTTGTTGAATTAAATTTTTTTTTAAGCCTACTTGTGTAATTGACAGAGTTAAATGTTGAAGAAGAGGTTATTTGCAAATATCTTATAATTTATGTAAAAAATATTTAAAATTTAAGGGAGTTATTCACAAATATAAAATAATTGAAGGGAATTCTTTACATGTCATGACTCACCTCATCTTTCCGACAATGGAGAATTTATAAGAGAGTCTCCTTCGGAGTTTTGATCAAACATAAATTATTCTAGAATTGACATAGTCAAGTCTATTATCTTCCCATTTATTGAACTGTGTTAGGTAAAATTAAAATAAGTAATGAAAAATAAAAAATAAAGATACATTCACATGAATTTCACCCAGTTTCATTATTTTATATTTAATGAGGTGAACCTTTATTAGGTACAAATTTTGACCATTTGACAAACAACATTACCATAATTACATAAAGTTTGTAATTTAGTGCATTTTCTGTTTTTTTTTAGAGTAAAAGGTATAGAGTTGATGTTCTTATTGGACAAAGTAAATATAAATTTCTTGCAAAGACAAAAGAAAGATAAATAAAATTATATGTTTTAGTCAATTTTTTATATTTACTTTATTTTAATCTTTTTGTTCAAGCTACACGGACTCATTTCGTTAACTTGTCATGTTATATAGAACTCTGAACATTGTGACATTCAGTTGACAACTCTTTCACATTATCTTTGACATAGCAATGTCATGAGAGACTCATTTCGTTAACTTATGATGTTACATTGAACTCTAAACTTTGTGACATTGCGTTGAGGACTTTTTCCACATTACCTTTGACATAACAATGTCATGAGGTCTCGAGAGTCATAGTTTATACGAGGGAGTCATGAGAGACTCATTTCGCTAACTTACGATGTTATATTGAATTCTGAACATTATGACATTCCGTTGACGACTCTTTTCACATTACTTTTGACATAACAATGTCATGAAATCCCGAGAGTCACAGTTTATACGAGAGAGTCATTGTCGTAATATCGCAAAGAGTACCATTGTGCTCGATTTCAATTTCATTTCCAAATTAATAAATATTTTTTAATAGCTTAAAAAATGTGAAATTTACTAATGATAAAAAGGCTTGATCGATTTTAATTTCAATTCCCAAATTGACAAATAATTTTTAATATCCCCTCAAAAATGTGAATTTACTCATTAAAAATAAATAAATAAATACTCCTAATAAAAAAGGTAAACCAGCTCAAGTAACCTAAACAGTTGACTTTCGATCAAGAATCAAAATTCAAATGACCGTTGGATGTCTTTGATCCAACGGCAAAATGTAGGGCTGCATGAAACTTCCTGGATGAATCCGTCACGAGCTTATGACACTGGGGAGTTTGCAGACACGTGTCTGCCTATTGCATTTCTGACCTGTGACCCGACTCTTGTCGTAAACCCCAAGATCAAAATCAATTCGTTGGAATCTTACCTTTTACTTTTTTTCAGTTGCATAAAAAACACAAAGTGCAAGCTGGTCACTTTATTTTAAGCCCCCACTCATCAAGGTCAATTCAGTAACTTCCCCAATTATACCAAATACTAACAGTACGACACCGTTCACCTCCACCGCCGACGGTCCAACCAATACCACCAAAATGTAAGTGCTAATGTGACAGCTTTCTTTATGTTTGAGACAATCAACACCACTACTTACTTGGGCACACTGCCTACTAGGCACGGATAACGAAATTCCAATACAATATCTGTACATTGCAAATATAACATGCCCTACCCATAAATAAATAAAATAAAATAAGACAAACCACATAAAAGAATAATAATAATACAAAACATTATATTATCTATGTACTAATCATTAATCAAATCAATAATTTGAAACTTATAGTTAGATTTTTAACATTTTTATTTTATTAAATTTTATATTACTTTTTAATTAATCTATAATATATTTTAAATTGTATTCTTTCAAAAATAATTACAAAAATCACTCATCATATCTTTGTCATGTTCTTACAATATTCATAATGTCTTTGATCAAAAAAAATAAAATATTTAAATTTCAAACACTTCTGACCATATTCGAATCATGTCAACTTCTCAAACATGCCGTCCCAAATTTTGACACTTGCAAAACACCCTCTTAAGCAATCCTACACAGCGAGAGAGAAAAATGTGAGAGGTCCACCACTTTATATTTTACTATTTAAAAAATAATTACATTCTCCAGATATCATTAATTTTCGGTCATTCACAACGGAATTGTAAGAAAAATTATTAATTTTATGCTATTTTTATTTATTTATTTTATTCATGTAATGGTCGAATTCCGTACTATAATTTTTGGTTCGAGGGTCCCTTCCACTGCACACGAAGCCCACACGTACAATACATTGGCTGTGAGCTTGATTAAGTAGTAGAGGACTGTGACTTTATCTTCAAAACCAAAACCAAAACCAAAAGCAAAGCCACCGAACAGACCAAATCCACCCATTCAATCCGTCTATCTTTATTCAGTGATACCTTACACTATAAAGCCACTAAAAATCACAATCCGTGAAACTCTTTGTTATCACTCTCTCATCTCACCATGAAATTTTCTTAAATCTAATCTCTTAGCTTCCAAACAACCCATCAAAGCTTATCGCTTTCCTCTTTACTTCGGCAATGGTCTCACTGGAAAATTCTCACACTAGTTCACAAACTTTCTATTCTCCAAGGTCTTCAGTCTCTTCCACCAAGATTCAGAGGGCTATCGGCCGGTCCATGAGGACGATCCGCTCTAACATCTACCAAACCGACCTGAGCTGCTCATTTACCGGTTCTACGGTCGAAAAATCGACATGCCTGTCGGAAAACCTAACCGATTCGGTCGTCGACTTGCGACTCGGAGAGCTCGCGTCTCGGGTCAACAAGTCGGTGAAGTCCTCGACTTCCGGCGAGGAATTTCTCGACATCTCTCAAGCTTTCAGCGACTTTTCGGCTTGTAGCAGCGATATCTCCGGCGAGTTACAGAGGCTTGCGAGTGTTCCGGCGTTAGAGAATGGTCCCGATCCGAAACCCGAGAACGAACCCGAGCCTTGTCAGGGGTTTCTCCAACGCGAGAACTTCTCGACGGAGATAATCGAGAGCATATCGCCGGAGGACCTCCAACCGACGGTCAAGATTTGCATCGACAGTCTCCAATCGCCGTCGATCGCGGTAAAGAGATCGGCTGCGGCGAAACTGCGACTCCTGGCGAAGAACCGGTCCGATAATCGAGCTCTGATCGGTGAATCAGGTGCCGTTCCGGCACTGATTCCACTCCTCCGGTGTACCGATCCGTGGACGCAGGAACACGCCGTGACTGCTCTCCTCAATCTCTCACTACATGAAGAGAACAAGAGTCTGATCACCGGTGCCGGAGCTATAAAATCGCTTGTTTATGTACTGAAAACAGGTACGGAAACGTCGAAGCAAAATGCTGCGTGCGCTTTGCTGAGCTTGTCTTTGATCGACGACAACAAGATGTCGATCGGCGCGTGTGGCGCAATTCCGCCGCTGGTGTCGCTGCTAATCAACGGGTCGAACCGGGGGAAGAAGGACGCGCTCACGACGCTTTACAAGCTCTGTTCCGTGAAGCTGAACAAGGAGAGGGCGGTGAGCGCCGGAGCGGTGAAGCCGCTGGTGGAGCTGGTGGCGGAGCAGGGTACGGGAATGGCGGAGAAAGCGATGGTGGTTTTGAGCAGCTTGGCGGCGATTCATGAGGGGAGGGCGGCGATTGTGGAGGAAGGGGGGATTCCGGCGCTTGTCGAGGCGATCGAGGACGGTTCGGTGAAGGGCAAGGAGTTTGCAGTGCTGACTCTGTTGCAACTGTGTGCTGATAGTGTGAGGAACAGAGGATTACTTGTGAGGGAAGGTGGAATACCTCCTCTTGTTGCTCTCTCTCAGTCTGGGACTGCTAGAGCCAAACACAAGGTGAGTATTTTTTTTTTTTTTTTGGTTATGAGTCCAGTTTTTTACTCAGTGAAATTTTGTATAGTCTGTGGTGAGTTGAATGATTAATGGATATAATTTTTCGTTAAATTGGCCTAATTATGCAATTGATTGATCTTAATTTGCATTTAAATTTGTGGGTCTAACGAGATTTCATCTGTAGTGACTAGTGAATGAAGTCAGATACATACCTATTATGTACTTGTATAACATAGTAAATCAGTGTAGACTCTTACCATTGAGTTATGTACTTGTTTAACCTACCAAATCACTTTGTTGACTTTTATGAACTTCAACTGGTGTACACATTGTTTGATTAAGTAACACTGTTTTACCCAATTGAGTTATGTAGTTGTATAACATACCCAGTCAATTTTTTGACTTTTATGAACTACGAACTACGAATTGTGCAGTGTGAACACATTGTTTGATTTGTTCTGTTTTACGCATTGAGTTATGTACTTGTATAACATATCAAATCACTGTGTTGACTTTTATGATCTACAAATTGTGCACATTGGACACATTGTTTGATTAAGTTTTACCAATTGAGTTATATGTACTTATATAAAATACCAAATCACTGTGTTGACTTTTATGAACTACATAAATTGTGCACATTGGACACATTGTTTGACTAATTTTGTTGAAGTAATTGTTTAGTTTATAATACCTGGGTGAAAAATCTAAAGGATTGACAGTCAACACTGTCTTGGATCGTTTATTATGCATATATTGTAATGACAATTACATTATTGTTTTTGACTTGAAGTTTGATTATACATAATTGATGATGCAAATATTGCTCAGTGTAACTTTCATTGACTATGATGTATTGACTGCCTGTATTTTATATGCATACATAAAAACTTGCATGTTATGTTCACCAGTTATGGTGTCTATGTGGGTCTGGCTTTTAATGGTGTTTGCTTGGTTTTCTTTCTGGCTTTGCAGGCTGAAACACTTCTTGGGTATTTGAGAGAACCAAGGCAAGAAGCTTCCACTTCTAGTCCATAGAGAGGTATCTGTATTATTAGATTATTATATTGTAAGGCTGAGTGGTTGGTTGTTGACTGTATATAGGAAGTGTGTTAGATGGTTTGTACAGAGTCTTTGAGAACCTTGAGAGATTCTTATGTAGTAGTGAAGAAAAAAAAAAATTGTAGAAACTAGTGAGAAGCATATGACCTTTAGATGTATGGTTGTTGACTAGGGTTTTGAGGGCTTTTACTTTCCACTTAAACCTTTGTTTTTGTGGAGGAGGGATACTTGTTTTGCCTAGCGGGGTTTTAGATTGGTGAAGATTTGGATTTTCTTGCTTATGCTTTGTTTGGCTGGTCCAAATTATGTATGTTAAAAGGGGTACTAATTGTCTGGTTTTACCTTGTGAAAACAGAGAAATCCTGTGTAGTTTATTAGATTTGGTTTTGTATGCTTTGTGATTACAGAGGAAATGGTAGGTTTGTTATGTGTATTATTATGTAGCAAGAGGTTCTCTTTCTTTTCTGTCTCTATAGTAGTTATATTTTTATTCGTCCAAGATATTTTTTTTGATTAGCAAGCAGTAGCATTCATCAGCCAAACAAGTTGGCAGGTGGAGATGGATTCCAAATTTGTGTAACCTTGGCCATTTGGCATATTGAACTTGAGATACTTCGTCAACGTGTTGAGAAATGTGTTGAGAAATTCCAAAATTTTGACTGGATTTTTGAGTGTGGGATTGGCGTAAGAGTAAGGTTGCTCCATATTGTGACTCCTTCGAAACAAGAATACAGTCTTCCTACATTGGGAGATAAGATTGCGTACATCTGATTCGAACGTTACGATTACAATTGCAATTGCAACAGGACTACATTGGGAGGTAAGACCGGGAAACAGTCATTGGGAGGTGAGACTGCTTGCTTTTGATCCAAACCTTACAATTTGTAATTGCAATGGCAGGACTTACATTGGAAGGTAAGACTGTATACATTGATCCAAACCAAACCAAACCGTACAATTGCAAGCAGGAGTTTGGTGAACTGATTTTGTGTTTATTTTGACTGTTCTTTTACTCTAGAAAATAATAAAGGAGTAATTGTGAATCCGAGTTGTTTTTAATGCAGCAGTGCAAGGCTGACCATGTTAGAGTCTGCAGGATATGTCTTCCAGAATATTTGTGGCATGTGTCCAAAATGTATGTTTCAAGAATTAGAAGTAGGGTCCAACCATTTCATATCTGACCCTTGTGAAAGATGGGTGGGTTCATATTCAAAGTTCAAACTAAAAGTTCTTGCATAGTTATATACTATTAATTTGAAAGTAGCAATAAATAAAGATAATAATAATAATGGCATGGTAAGGGTCCCTTGACAAGCAAAGTGTTGGTGTAAAGGGTTCCAGCGGGCGGGTGTGGGCGGTGGAACCTCGTCCAGTCCCATCGCCACCTGCAGCCGCATGCATATACATGCACACAGTCGGTAGCAGAGAAATGATTAGATTGGAGGTCGTGGTTCCAAATAAGAAAATAGACTTTTAAAGATAAGATTGTGGTTCCAAATAAGAAAATAAACTTTTAAAGATAGGATTGTATACATTTAATTATTTTCAAACTTTGCGGGAGGGCTCGTGTAGACTAATTTTTTTTTTTCTAGTGAAAGAATGTCCACGTAACTGTAGGGTAAGATGATCTAATAATTATTTTCAAATGGTCCTACCAACCCCACCAAATATTTATGGTAGTTGATGAATGGATCTTTGTTTAAATTTTTGCCCGTGGTTCTATTATTGGTGGCAATAGCTGGCAGAGCAGGTATGCCTTGTCCTGCTATTTGGATGGTCATGGTTGCTTTCTATGATTCTAACTATACACCAGTTATCCACTGTGCAACAATTTTTTTTTTTTGAACTTTCCTTAGAGAGGGAGTGTCGGTGCTCCTTCTTTCTCCATCAAGGTTTGATACATGGCTACGAATCATCGATACGGACAGCGGCAACACTATATAATTACAGAAAATTGGTACAACACGATACGATATAAATACAAAAAATTGGAACGACACGGTATAAACACAGAAGTTGATGAGTTGATATGTAAGACTAATTGGTACAACACGATATAAACACAGAAACTGATGAGTTGACATATAAGACTGTGAATTACGGATATGGACAAAGAAATGAATGAGTTGATATATAAAAATTAAGACTATGAATCACTGATACGGACAAAGAAACGGATGAGTTGATATATAAGAATTAAGACTATGAATTATTGATACGGACATTTAGGAGATGAGTTGATATATAAGAATTAAGATTAGGAATTACTGATACCGATACAAACTTACGGACTGCTAGGAATCACCGATACAGACACAAACTAGCGCAACACACAATTTCACTGATACGGAAACAAATATTAGTGTAACATGATTCCTTGGTGACAAATAAATACGGAGTATCAAATAAACTAAAACAAAAATTTTAGAACGATTTGGCAATGTTGAATAGAACAGAGTGTTGGAAATTGAGAAAAATACAAACACAATCCATCCATGTAGCTAAAATGATGATATTACGTTGTGATAGGAACACTAAGTAACTTATAGAGTGTATAATTATTATATTTAACGAAGTTCAATGATGCACATATAAAAAGAGAGAGAGAGAGTTAGACAAAAACGCCGATCAGAACTCTGGTTGGATGAAGTAATTAAAAACAATTTTAAAATTTTGAGTTTAATAGAGGTCTAGGTGTATATAATAATAGGAAAGAATGAGAAAAGATAATTTATGTGGTTGTTCCCATCACTGTGGGGGTAAAGGAAGGTTGATGATGAGTGTAACATGAAATAAACATATACAAATCTGATATAGATATGGAGGTGCAGCAAATCTAAAAAGAATAGAACATGAATATGACGGGTATACATGTTAAGCTTAGGGGGGGAAAAAATGTATACAAGTTAAATAAATAATAATATATTATTAATTTTAACAAATAATTTTACTCAATTTATCTAAATTATCAACGGTTTCAATAATGTAACGAGCAAAAGTTTTAGTGATCTCTCCCCAACCAAAATGTTGAACTAATAGGGGAGTTCTGGTAGCAGGAAACGTTATTTGTACAACAGTGGATCAAGATATGTAACGAGCAAAAGTTATGATAAAAGGTCTTGGTCTCGGAAAAAATACAACATTACAGCTAATTCATAGAAGTGGTCTACCTATTCACTTTCGTACAGGATGAAATCACAAATTTAGCGCTTAGATTCGATGTTTATCGGTTTTTTTTTTTTTTTTTTTCCCAAAAATTTATATTAAATTTTTAGTTAACTCATAATATATTTAAAAATTACATTGGAATCATATTTTTTATATAAAAAAAATAATAATAATTTCAAAAATATTCCGTCGTGTCCCTCGTTCAATGAGAAGAAGAAAAAAAACACCTTTAACCGTTTTGAATATGTATTCGGTTGTGTTCTACTAATGTTCAATATTACCACAACACTTTTAGAAGAAGTCTTTGTATTTCCTATGTATTGGGTATAGGATTTGTATGTTTATTTGAGCTTTTAAAAGATAAAAAGTTTCATTACGAATACTTTTTTGTGATTGTAAAGTCTCTAATTCCCCCTCACCAACGTGAAAAACAAACAATGTAGTTTCTTTGTCTACATATACATTTATGTACTGAGGTATATATATAGAAATTGTGTGGCTTTTGAGGTTTTGATGTGCACCCGAGCAATGCCAGCATGAAAATGATAGAAATAGAATAGAACTATTATTTTCTTGTATGGACCATAAAATAGCTGTTATATAATCACAAATTACATCATGTAGGTCATCTCATCATGCCCTACCCTATGATGGTTCCATTGAATGAAATAAGTTCCTGAACCATGAGTTCCTTTTAATGATTTTTGTCCACTTAATGTTGAGTGAATAGAAATTCTCAAAGTTCAGAATCTATGTAGCACAACTAAAAAGAACCACACAAAAAAAAAAAAAAAATTATTATTATTATTTTTAATTGTATTAATGTTGGATATCCTAGAAGTTAGAACACCTCGTAGTCTATTATTTTTATTTTATTTTTATTATTATTTTTTTCGACAAACAAAAACAACAACAACAAGAATTACAAACGGTCATGCACTGCTAAAGCAAGGATACCACTAGGAATATGGACTAGAGCAGTGTCCGTAGAAATGTGTCGATGAAAAAGTTTCGCAAAAATATGAGCGGCCTCATTGTCATTCAACTCCATGCTTTCCTATTACAATATGTGATAGACTTTTGAAATTGAACTATTGAACACAACGGTAACCAAATTATTACTATAAAAGAAGAAAAAATATTTTAAAAGGAGAAACAAGAAGCTGTGCCAACCTGTATAGAGACAAACAAAAATTATTTTAAAAGGAGAAACAAGGATGTTTTTTTTAAAAAAATAAAAAAGACAAAGGATGTTTTTTTATAAAAAAAAAAAAAATTAGAATATGCCTGTCTTGAAACCATACAGCCTGTTCAGTATTGGGATAGTCTTTGATGATATAAAAGGCCTCTTTTCAAACAATTTTTATTTGTCTACATATACATTTCTGTAATTGCGTATATGTTTAGAAAATGTAAAGCTTTTGATGTTGCTTAGATGTGTTCATGAGTAACGCCAGCATGAATATATTCTTGTACGGACCATAAAATAGCTGTTACATCCAAAACCTAGAGTGGGATTTATGTTGATTAAAAGTTTAAAAAATCTACAGGAAAGTTAGGGAACAACATGATTCCACGTAAACAGTACTTAATGGAGAATGGGTTGGCATAAATGACACCCTGTTGTTCACAAATTACATCCGGTAGGTCATATGTATCATCATCACCTTACCCTATATTTGGTAGTTGGTATTTCCTTTGAATAAAATAAGTTTTTGAAATATGAGCTTTTTTTTCTTCCACAAAAGCATTGTCAAAGTTTCTACCACCAAACTCATAATTTCATTCAAATTCATCTAAAGGGTTGATTCGATGCTCCAATGCAACTTAAAGCATCCGCAACAGTTTTTTTAGATTTTGGCTCTAAAAAAATGTCACTTCAATTTTTATAAGAGTCACGTTAGTAACTTTCGTTCTCTAGAAATAGACACTCCATCAGACTATCCGAATTTTCACTCTCCAATTTATTTATTTTTACTTTTTCCTAACAGCTATATTTTTCATCTTATACGATGAACTAATTATATTGATTAAAAAAGATAGGATTAATTTAAAAATTAAAGCAAAAAAAAGTTTTAAAAAAACCAAATTTTAAGTGAAAATAAAAAGGTTTTAATTTATTTTTGGCCCAAATCAAAATTATTTTGGACAAATAGTGCTAAACAATAGATTTTTTATTTAACAAATTTTATTTTTTAAAAATGAGCTCAAACTAACCTAATTTTTTTAGTATTTTTTTTAAAAAATCATGCTACCAAACAATGTATTCCTAACAGTTGCTGCCTGAACTTTACAAAGCGATAGCGTTTTGGCATAGAAAAAGATTAAAAAAAAATATATACCCCAATCGGGCTCGGGCTTGCGATATTCCGCAAGCCAACCCACGAGCAAATTTGGGCCAATTAGCGCCAGGCCGCTACGGGCGCATTTGGGTTTTTCAATCGGGAAAAGGGCCTTTGGCTAAAGGGGGATGCCATTAGCTGGGATAAATACAGTAGAATTTGATCAATTAGTTCGATTATGTTAGCAGAAATTGTGAAAGTTCAGTTGAGTCTTTGTATCACAACTCAATTTTTTTAAAATAATAGTAATTAATTAAATTAAATACACTTATCTCCCTTGAGATATGACATGTTTTATTTCTCTCAACTGTGTTGGTAGTATTATTTTAGATGAGAGGTGGAGTTTAAAGGGATTGAAAAGGACAGTTATCATATTATGTCATTTAATTTTGTTTTTTTGTATCATTAAATTTAATTTTGCTGAGTAAGCAGATTTTGTTGGTGTAAATTTTGAATCAACAAAAAAAGGTCAGTGTATGACAGAATTGAAGAAACAAAGATTCATACTTTCTACATATGTGTCTTGGTATTTGATGCCAATTAATCTGATATGTTTGGTCATGTTTAAGTGTAATTGCTAGTTGTTCAGCAAATATACAACACATAATAAAATAAAATAAACCATGTGCATCATAACAAGACAACATTTAGAAAATCATCTTTTGTGAAAACAAATTCAACTGGCTTATAATGTTGTTGTGACTGCACTTACAAAAAAAGAGACAAAAAGCACAGCAAATCGAACCAATACACACACACAAACACACCAAGTAAAGAAATTTTTACACTTGGGAAATATGAACATCACATGGGATATTATTATGTGCTGAACAAAACCTCTTTGCCATCAAAATGTTGTTCAGCCAGAGACTTGTGCTTAAAAGAAAAATTAGTGAACAAAGATGACATTAAAGTAAATAGTCTTAGCATATTAAACAGAAATAAAAACCAGTAGTGATTCTGCAATGTAGACAATTTTTCATAAATACTAATGTGTTCCATTAAAAACTAAAATCACTGGACCAGCTAACAAAGTAAAAATAATGAAGTTAAATGAAATTAACAAATATTTTGCGCTTAAGCAGAATCAACATTCTTTTGCTTGGAGGAACATAAGCAAGGTTTGTAACCTTTTTCCAGCATCTTCTCGACCTCCTCAAATGGCAATCCTTTGGTTTCTGGTACAAGGAAATATATAGCTACCAGTCCGAGGAAGGAAAATCCGGCAAACAGGAGAAATGTGCCAGCTGAACCAATCGCCTCAGTTAATGTCAAGAACGTCTCACTTACAATGAGATTGGAAATCCAGTTAGACACTGCAGCGATTCCTCCACAAATGCCTCGGTATTTCAAAGGGTATATCTCCGAGTTCACAATCCAAGGTGCAGTTCCCATTCCAGGTGAGTAACTTATAATATATAATCCCATAACAAGAACTGCAAAAATCCCAAATTTGCTTGGACAACCATTTGTATACCAGGTACGGTTTTCTGCACCACATGTTCTTTTGGTAACATCATTTGAAGCTAAGCACGCCCCGGGATGATACTAATAATAATTAAAAAAAAAACAACTTTAATCAGTAATATACCATGGCAGAGAAGACTAGACAGAAGTTCATTAATAATGGAAATGTAATAGGCATCTCAATGTTATATGTTTCAAAAATTTTGAGGGTAACAGATTGCAAAAATGTTTGTATGGTAGTATATGTTGAAAGAGGGGGAAAAAATGAAGTACCAAAGTACTAAGTTGATTGACAACACATGAAAGGTTGAAATAGATTTCTAAATGACCAAAGGGGGCGAGTATGGATAACTTACTTGATTCACTCCATTAGCACAAAATGCACAATCCGAGGATGCTTTCAAGCACGTCATACAATTCCAAGACAATGCATCTGGAGCTGTCTGGTAACTTGAGCACGTAGAGTTCCCACCGAAGTGTGTGGATTCGAGTTTACTGATAGACGGAGAATGGGTAGAAGCTTGAAAAAACATGCCGGATAACACCACAAGGCAGATAATAATTCCAAACATAGAAATAATCATCAATCTCCTCCTCCCGAATCTGTCAACAAAAAGCATACTCACAAGGGAGCCAATAGCGTTGAGACCAGAAGTGATGAGAGAAAGTGCTAAAGCAGTCTTTTTTGAAGCAAATCCAGCCAGTTGAACTATGGTTGGGCTATAATACATGACGGTGTTTATGCCTACAAACTGCTGAGCCACTTGGACAGTGACTCCCGCATAGAGACCTCTTCGAACTATTTTATTACTCCAAGCACTCTTTAATTTTGAAATCATACCATCACCAATAGAACCTTCGTCCGCCTTTTCAGCTTCGATAGACGACTGTAAGGCCTTCATCTCTTGTTCAACTTCATTAGGAGGATAGATCTTCTCTAATATTTTCCTGGCCTCATCTACCTGATTCTGTTTAACACATTAGAAAGATAAGTTTGATATTATTGTAAAAGTCAAATAAGGTATAAAGAAAGTGTTCGAGAAAAAAATAAAATTGGTTGAAGGCTATTTAGTTGGCCATATCATTGAAGTGATGACATGGAACGAAGCTATTGGGACGGAAAGGTTAATTGTTACAAAATAATGACTAAATGACTATAGTGAATCATCTTCTCAGAAAAAAAAAAAAAAAAATGTATGAAAGTCATAGCAAAGAGTATTAAAATTAAAGCAACATCCAAAATTTCAAAAAATTTCTATTAAAATCTGAAATTTTCTTATAGAAAATGTCCATTAGTCAGTAAACAAACTAGATGAACATGATTTAAGGAGATGCATAACACTGCAGATCGAACACAATAAATTGAATATTCATCTCTAGCATCAGATGTACTCCACTTTTTAGTACGCCCAAATGATACCTCCAATCAGTCAAACACATTAAACATACTACTAATTTACTTGAGAAAGCGAAACAAAGGTTGCAACAGCATGATTATCAAAAAGAAGATTGATTAGTACATCTCTATACAGCCATCTAGGAGACTCGGGAAGCGACCACATCAATATGAATTGAACAAGGGCTGGAACTCCAGCTATCCCAAGCATCCAACGCCATGTTCCAGGTGCCTGTAACACGAGAAAGAAGAAACATCAACATTATTTCCTTCTACAAAACAAGGAAATTAACTAGAAAGAACAATCAAAACATCCAAAAAGCTTCAAAGCTTTCATACCTTGGTAAAGCATAGGTTGATAATATAAGCCAAAAATTGCCCAAAGGTGATTAAGAAACCATTTGTGCTAACCAGTGCTCCTCTGATTTTAGCAGGTGATGCTTCCGAAATGTAAAGAGGTGCTGTCATGGATGCCATTCCAACACCCAAACCCACAAATACTCTTCCAGCTATTATCATCCCGGGATTTACAGCACCGGCCATAATTACAGCACCAACAAAGAACAAAAAGTCCGCTCCTAAAATTGACCTTCTCCGCCCATATTTGTCATTGAAGTATCCACCAAATGCGGCACCAACTATAGCTCCTGCTACTGCCATGCTCACAATGGTCTCCTGTACATCGACAAACAAATATGACAAGCCATCCCATAAAAGAGATATATAATCAAACATTTCACTTCGATTTCAAAGAAAGCGATTCCGAATAAGTTGCCTGTAGCAATGTTGTCCTATCAACAGATTTGAAGTCTTCTCGAATGTAGAGAAGTGCACCAGAAATAACACCTACACCACAATAACAAAGTTCACGAATTATACAAATGTACATAGAGACAAACATTGTATAGACTACAAATCAGTCCAAAATAGTCCGAATTCACAAATGCTTACAAATTAAGTACATAACATGAATATTGCTTAAAAATGATGTAATTGAAAAACGAATTAATGAATCTCATAATCCTTGTGTTACCTGTATCGTAACCAAAGAGGAGTCCTCCAATGCCAGCCGATAGGGCAAGCCGCATTATGTAGGGTTTTTTCCAAGTTGTCCTCCAGCATTCTGTGAATTCTGTTCTATCTGCTTTATGAACACCCCCCTCCATTTGAATCCACTTTTGAAAATAAATTCAACACTAGTTCTATTCACTGAAAAACAAAGGGGAAAATAATGTAGAAAACAATAAATGTTTTAGAATGAAGAAATTGAGTGAAATTATTTGAAAATCAACACTATTGGTTCATGAGCAACAAATTGTTTATGCTTGACTACCCAAGAAAGTAAGAAAGAAAATGGTTTTCATGTGGCATGATCAATCCATTTGTATAAAAAATTTCTTATAAAAAAAGAAAATTAGGAATAACATCCAACTATGCAACTAGAATAGGGAAACAAGCAAAACCTGTCAATAAATAAATATATCCCTAAAAAACAAAATTCTAATGGGAATGTAAGAGTAACAAAGAGATTCATTCAAAAAACTTGATGGAGATAATAAGGTTATTTAGGAATCTCTAAAGTAGCTTCAATTTTTAGTGAAGACTCATTTTACCTTAATTCCTCCGAATAAAGGTAAAATTTTTGCTTTCATCATAAGATGAGAAAACAATATAAGTATATATATATATATATATCTGTGTATATATCATGTATAAACTTACTTGGTTTAATTGAGTAATAGCAATCATATCATGCACATTACTTCTAATTGATGATTATGATAGAGAAACAAGCTGATTTTAACTATAAAAAAATTGGAAAAATCGCCAAACACATCGCCCTTAGACTTGCATATATCAGGTATATTACAGTTATGTATATCATATATATCACAGTTAGTACTAGAGAAAGTACCTGGTCTAAAGCTTCTCTTCTCCTCTCCTCTTCCGTTTCTCTTGCATGTGACTTCTCCTAGTTTTCTATCCTTCTTGTTATATATATATATATATATATATATATATATATATATATATAGATATAGATAAAATGAAAGTAGATAATTCAATAAGAAGCCATATCTACTTAAATCGGGATTCTCGTTTTTTTAATTGTTGGGATTGAATTTTTAAAATAGTGTGACAGTTATTATTAATGAGGCATTTGAAAATTAAAAATATGTAAAGCCCACAACCAAAAAAAAATTGAATCAGGACCGTTGGTACAGAGACGACGGACACGTGTCTGTCTCTGGACTGTTCATTTTATTACTCTTTGTTTTTTTTAGGTAATTCTAAATGGGATCTTTTACTTAAACAGTATCTACTAAGTAGTATTCATCCCAATATATATATATATATATATAAAATCTCCCTTTTCAACTCTATTCAGATAAATTATTAGGTGATTTTGATTTATATAGTATAGTGCATTCAATTTTTTTCACCTCTTTAATTAGAGAATTTTAATTCCACAGAATTATCTAATAATTTATTTTCTATCTGTCACCTAATTAATTTGTTTTCTATCTGTCACCTAATTAATTTATTAGATTTTCCTTATTGGTATGGATTGAACAGATCAGGATTGTCCATAATTCGGATCTTATTAATTTTACGCTTATCCACATTTAATGAATTTAATGTTTCCAACTCCTAGTTGGATAAAAGGCCAAGAGGTGTAATCGCAGCAAAACTTTCAGAGCGTTTATTTTATTTTATTTTATTTTGTTCGGGCACCGAAACCCATCTTAGGCTACAAACCCTCCATACCTTATCAACAATTTTAGTCGAGAGTTATAATGGCGATGTACGGGTTCAAATATGGGACATGAGCGTTTTCAGGTCGTTACCTTACCAACTCGGTTAAGCCCCTGGGACAAAACTTTTAAAATGTTGAAAATACAAAGCACCATAAAAATGAAAACTATTGTAAAAAGAACAATACTAATAAAAATCTCCATTGGCATTAACGATTATTATATTACACGTTCCATTAATAATTAATCCATGTCTAATATTATAATGAGTGTCATTTAAAGTTTTATATGTTCTTAATTTTTATAAAATGTTTAAACTAGATATGGTTCATTGGCAATTCCGCATGTTACTCTAATCTCACTTCATTTGTGAAAAATGAAGGACTTAAATCAAAATGTAGATGATGGGCTCAATTTTATAGTTTTGGACATTATATATATATATATATATATAAATATATCAAAATGTAGATGATGGGCTCAATTTTATAGTTTTGGACATTTTATATATATATATATATAATAATAATAATCTTATGTGTGGCGTATTTAAAATTATATTCACTGTTAATAAAAATTAAACACACACACACATATATATTACTAATAGTTCAGTTTAGTTTGATCTTTTTGGACTCCAAATCAAAAACGACAAGTATCAATAATTTTTAAATTTAAGAATAAGAATCAAATTATTTTATCATAAAAGTTTACAAAATTATACATCGGTCTTGATTCGGTCAAATTTATATGTTCTAAAAATTTTTACGCACTGCAGAACTGTGAATACACACAAAACTCCTAGCTAATAATTTAATTTTTTAGGTGAGACGGTAAGCATGCCCATAGGATGGATGTTAGTAATTGCTACCAACTTGGATAACTTGTTTCACGTGGATTCAAATAATAATAATAATAAAAAAAAAGGGACCAATAACCTAAGTTTTTAGGTCATATGACAAGTGTGCAATCCAGTACAAATTACAACAAATTCAAATAAGCAATATTAGAACAAATCAAACATTTGATCTGATATCATGTTAAATTCCCATCAAATTTAGGTTGATTTTCCAAAAAAAAAGAAGTCAAATTTAGGTCGATTTTCCAAAAAAAAAATGAAGTCAAAGTTAGGTCGATTTTCCAAAAAAAAAGAGAGTCAAATTTAGGTCGATTTTCCAAAAAAAAAAAGTCAAATTTAGGTCATATTTAAATTTAGCCGACTGGTTTTTGAATCATCAAAAAAAAGTTTCTTAAAACTATTTTAATCTTTTGCCTAATCGTTCTTTGTTACAACGGTTCGTCGTAAATCGGGGCCTTAGGCGAAAAGTAATGCAATATATTAATTGTTAATCATCCTCCTTACTTTTTGAGAGCTTTTTCATATCATAATATGCAATATATTAATTATTAAATAAAAAAAATAAAAATCTAAAAAAAGAGAATATGAAAAGTTTATTTACTTTCCTATACAACAACGGCTAAATATTTAAAAATATTAAATATATATAGTGCTGGTGTAAAAAAAAAAAAAAAAAAAAAAAAAAAACATGTAATGAGATAGACAAAGAAATAAAATATTAATGAGATATTTTAGGAGATAAATAATTTCTTTCTTGATTAAAGTTTAATGAAAGCCATGAATAATGATGAGAAGTGAGAAGACAAAAAAAAAAAAAAAAAGAAAAAAAGAAAAAGAAAACAAGAAAAAAGAGACTTATTTTAGGAGATAAATAATTTAGAATTAGTTTTCAATAAGGAAACAATTACAATATATCATATATTAGGCAACTATAATATTTTGAGGCTTTTTTTATTGACTGGGGCCTTAGGCGGCCGGCCTAACTCGCCTGAGGCTCGAGCCGCCCCTAATTCTTGATGAGTTTTTTAATCAATTTTTGTCTAGAATATTTAACAAATTGAAGATAAAATGAGATTTGAAAATAAGCAGTGAAGAAAAATAATTGTCCAAAGACCAAGTTTTAAATAATGTAAAAATAATATAAAATATTATTGGTTGATAATTTTTTATTTTTGATTTTTTGAAAACTAAATTAAAAAGAATCATGTTTTCACACTTCTAAATTAGTTTTTATTTATTTGTTATAAAAGAAATGTTTTCTATTTTCTTCGGCTGGTTTTTAAAATCACAAAACTACATAGGCTCATAGTCCATTCAGAGGTTGGGTTAGCCTTTAAACCGAATTGGTCCGCCAACAAATCAGGTCCATTCGCGGCCCATTTGACGAAGGATTTTGTCTGTAGTGAGTAAACGTGTTCTCTCTCTCCCTCCGACTTCTCTAATTGTGTTTCCTCGAATCGCGAAACTAACCCTAATCTCTCACACAGAACCGTTGAATCTCTTGATTCAGCTCTTCAATTCGATGCTGCTTTGTTGAGTTTATGCATTTTCTGTAGCATCACATCGATCCGCATTTTATAGTTCTAATTTCGCCTTTGATTTGATCATAAATCTAGAGATAGAAAGGTGAAGGTCGCATTGCATAAAAATTACAGGTATGTCAAAACAATCCAATTCTATTGTTCTGTTTTTAGTTTCAATTTTTTTCGGTTTTATCATTTTATGCTTGTTTATGTGTCGTAGTTAGGGTGTTTATATGAAACAACTGTGTGTTTAATGTGTTGAAACTGCTAATTTTATATCATCTGTTTGTGGGTTGAGTTTTTTTGAGCTTATATTCGTGCTTTAATGCTTTTTGTTAATTGAGAAATCAAAATTTGAGGCAATGCTTTAGGAAGATGACTAGTTTCCAAATTTTGGGGACGTAAAGACATTTGCTTGGTTTGTTTAACCCTTTCATTTTGTCCCTAAAAAATATGCCTTCATTTGAATCATTCAGTAGTATGGAGTCGGAAACGAAAATATCACTTTTTTTGATGGGTCGATTGTCTTTGGTACCAATAGTTCTTTAGTCGACAAAAACAAATGATTATATGTAGAGACAATATAAGATACATTAAGGATATGAATCTGTTAGTTTTTTACTTTGTGGTTGCTACAGCTTATATCTCAAGTTAGAGCTAGCGAAGTATACGGTATCTTCTGTTCGATAATTTGGGAAGCATATGGATGATAGCTTTACAATTTTTTAGCAACATGTTGTCTTCTTGTACCAACAGTTCTTCGGTGAGTGACTTCCTTATAAAGAAGCTTCAACAAGTGACTGCTTCCTTGAAATTCTTAACGAAAAGTAGTGGATTGACCTGATTTTAGGTAGAAGGATTATTTTTATTTTTAAAAACCTTTTGAAGTCAAGATTTTATGACTGCCTTCCTTATAGAGAAGCTTCAACAAGTGTCTGCTTCCTTAAATACCTTAACGAAAGTCATGGATCCAGCCAATTTTAGGTAGAAGGATCATTTTTGTTTATTTTAGAAGTTAAGAGATTATATTGTACTTTATTTTTATCAGAAAAAATAAAAAATAAAAAAATAGGATATATGCGCGCGCGTGTGTGTGTGTGTGTGACTGTTTTCTGTAAGCATTAGTGGAAATAAAGATAATAATTTCCTGCAATCTCTAATGGAGTGATTTTCTGTGTCTTATTAAGGTTTTGTGTGTTTAATTCATTTGAATTCCGAGGATGGGATGGATTCATTCATTATGAAACGTGTGTTTTATCACTTTACGTCATTAGGCAGGTTTTGTTTCACCCCGGGCAGCACTAATTCATACTCCAGTGGGATGTTCCTTATATAAGGTTGAAATGATGGAAATTTTCCACGAAATTTTGCTAATTTTTGTTATTAATTAGTGCATGGTTTTCTTTTGCACCTTTGTTATTTATTTATTTTTTATATATATTTTTGGTTGGGGACTAAGGGTGGGATACATAGTCTAGGTCTTCAGAGCATGTGAAGGATGAGTTATGGATGATTTACTTTTGAGCATATTTGAGGGGGTCAGGAATACAGGGAAAGAGGGCATGACAACAAGTGAATGTGGCACCATCTATTGGAAGATCAAGCAACTTCTGAGCATCAATAAACTCAGAAAACTGATCCATAGCTACAGTCCACCTTCCAACACTAGATCTCTCAAAAGGGGATCTAACCACATTAAAGTCACCGTGCACACACCACGGATGGTTTAATCTCCCTCTAGCATAAGCTAGCTCCTCCCACAACCACCCTCTCCCCCATGCATCACTGGCCCATATTATTGGGAGAACACCCAGACCCATCCTCCTTAAGAGAGAATAAACATGAGACTGAGAATCTCCCTTTCCATACATCCACCTTAGAAACCCACCTCCTATCCCACATAATCAATATGCCTCCTGCAGATACGATGACATCAAGAGCCTCCCAGTCTAGAAGTCCTAAATTCTTCTCACAATCCCATCATAAGAGGATTCTTATTTTAATTATTGCAAGCAAACCACCTGTGCCTTTCACTTGCGCAAAGATAATTTCTCCACTTTCCTCTTGTTCGGATCATACCCTGGACATTCCAAGATATTATACGAAACTTCATATACAAACAATGGTTTTCTCCTGTTCCTTCCTTCCCCTCCTACCCATCTCCCTCTCTGCTCCATTCCTCCCATTGTAGTTAACATACGAAATTAAATTGCGGAGTTCTCTCTCCCCCCTTCACCGATTATTTTTCTTCCGTTCGACTACCTTCCATTCTTCATCAGTAGTTTGGAATAAGTCCAAAACTTGCCCTTCCTTCCCTTCATATGATAACCCCAAGTTTTTGCTAACTTTCCCAATGTTTTCCACCATCTAATTCCCCTCCCTTTCCTCCGCAATCTGAACTGGCATGTTCTCCCCCTCTCTAACCATATTTATGGAAGACAAAGCCCCAAAAAAATATTATTTTTCCTTTTCTTCCTCATCCAACACTACCAGGGCCTGTTAAAGTCGAAAGGATCTGCCAGCAGCATTCTCCATCATCTCTGTAGGATGAGTTCCCCGATCCCCACATGGTTACTTAACCTATTTTTGAAAAGTCCATGTAACATAGCTTGATGCTATGCACTAGGAGCTCCTCCACATCAAGCAACCCCTTTTTCCTTTCCAACCAAGTACAACACCTAAGGCATGGAAGAGCTACGTCCCACACTTTCTTCAGCCTCTGACAAAGGCATCCTTATCGTAAGCTGATCCTGCATAATCAGTCATATCTTAAACCAAAATAAAAAATAAAAAAAGTGGAGACACCTATGATCCCACATCAGAAAGCAATATTAGAAAAGGTGGCAAAAGTCTCCTCAGCCCTCTCAGTAGTATGGCAATGCTTTGAAGGATTTATGTTGAATGTATTACAGGAAACTAAATTCAATTGTAGACCTTTCACGGTCAATTATTTAATTAGAATAACTAAATACGTGTGTTTTTGTGATATTTTGTTCATGTACCAACTTGTGATACAATTTCCTCGCGACAGTGAATTAATCCATTATTATTTCCAGGTTTGATCTTTAGATGCGGACATCGAGTAGTTTGAACGGAAGTGTTGTGGGAGCAGAGTGAGGGTGGGTGCTTGAATGAGGATACAAATGGCACTAAGGTGGTAAAAGGTGTGGAGCATGTAGAAAGGAAACTTGCACACAACACTCGCTTATCTTTACAGTGGGCTGTCAGTTCATAGGATCATGGTATCCTTTCCTCTTTCTGGATAATTTTCTCTCCAAGAGAAATATTATTTGTCAACACTTTGAAAATGGAACAATAAAATATACTAAATGCTTCCATAGAAGTTTTTAGATTCTGATGCTTTCTTGACACTGCAGGTACGTTAAGCTGACACTTCTTTTAGAGGACCAGATTGGGATCTTACATAGAAAAAGTTCTGATTCGTGTAAGAAGAAGGGAGAGGCAAGAGGGTGGAATAGGGAATTTACCATCTGTGTAGGGGAAGCTACGATTTCCTGTTCGGACCAAACCATCGTCACCTTCATAGACAGATGTATTTTCTTGGATTCCTTTCATCCGTAATTACTGAATTGGTGCTTTTTTCCTTGATATACTTGCTCTGTCTTCCAAGTTTCCTTTACCACTGCTTTGTTCTCTTTCCTGATCTGATTTGGAAAAAATATGATATATTATAGGGCATTTAGCTCCTAAAAGGACCCATGATCTGAAGGCCATATATCAGTCAATATGTTTCTCTAGCATGTGATGCTGTTTGAGGGTTGGAAGATGGCATTTTATTCTGAGGGGGAACAAACTGAGGATTACCTTTTCAAGATTGTTTTGATTGGTGATTCAGCTGTTGGGAAATCAAACTTGCTTGCTAGATTTGCAAGAAACGAGTTTTATCCCAATTCCAAATCAACTATAGGAGTAGAGTTCCAAACCCAGAAGATGGATATCAATGGAAAGGAGGTCAAGGCACAGATCTGGGACACAGCCGGGCAGGAGCGGTTCAGGGCTGTTACCTCTGCATATTATAGAGGTGCAGTTGGAGCCCTTCTGGTCTATGACATCTGCAGGCGCCAGACTTTTGATAGCATTGGTAGATGGCTTAATGAGCTTCACAGTAAGCACCATCACAAATTGATGTTAGTTCCATTTTGTTTTATGCTTATTTTTTCTTTAAGGACTCGTTTCAGATGCATAAGGAAACTGTTTATGTACCCTCATATAATGAGTCAAGACTATGAAACATGATTCCCAACATATAATTTGATATGGCCATTTACTAATTGCTCTTGGGATTTTTATTCTTTTCAACAGCTTGGATGGGAGAAAATTTTTTGGGGGACTGTTGGCAGTTTTTTTTTACATGAGTTTATTATCTTCCTCCTCCTCTATCATCGTGGAGTTAGTTCAGTGAATTCTCGCGAGTTATTTTAAAAATAGTAATAAGAAAATAGTGTATGGTGATGATTAGTATTCCATTTTGCATTAAAAAAAAAATTCAATTTAGCATGGGATCGTGGTGTTATAATAACTTCTGATTTTATTTTTTAAAAAAGAAAAGATTACTGATGATGTTGTTTTTATATATATCCTGCTGCTCAAGATGATCGTTTTACATGCATATTTCCCTAGTTTGTGCGAAGCTTGATTTGTGTGGTTTACTTATTGAACAGCTCATTCTGACATGAATGTAGTTACGATACTCGTTGGCAACAAGTCTGACCTCAAAGATGCCAGGGAGGTTTCCACTGCTGAGGGCAAATCCTTGGCTGAGGCACAGGGCTTGTTTTTTATTGAAACTTCAGCCCTCGATTCCTCCAATGTAGTTACTGCCTTTCAGACTGTTGTCAAAGAGATCTACAACATTTTGAGCCGGAAGGTAATCCAATCTCAAGAACTCAAGAAACAAGATCCTGGCTGGATGGGGAATGGAAAAACTGTTGTTTTACAGGGGAATGGAAACCCGGAAGCAGATGGGCAACCAAAGAAAGGTTGGTGCTGTTCATCCTAAAACTGCACTTCAGTTCTACTATCAATATGATTCCTTACAATATTCAACATTTGTTTTGCGCCATGTGGTTCAGTTTATTGTCCATTTGAAAAGTTGATTCAAACAATATTTTTCCTTTTTCTGTGCGATGAAGTTGGCAGAAAAAATGTAAATGACACAAGGAGATAAAAAAAGAATTCACACCTTGGGCCTTGTTTCAAATGATCTTGTTTCTACTATGCCTATTTTGTTGGGAAGTGTTTTTCAAGTAATGAATAGAGCCATAAGAATCTAGTTGGATTTTTCTTCTCTTTTTCTTTTCCCTGGCAAACTAGGAGAGGGGGGACTCCAACACGGGCACACCCACTCGGAGAGCTAGACGCGCTACCAACTGGGCCATTGGGTAAATGCCCAATCTACTTGGATTTGAGTAAGGATGGTATTAAGTCCTGTAATTTGTCAATTTATGCATTTGTTTTAGAATAGCTGTCCACTATTTATTCAGACAAATCTTCTAGAGTCATGTATCATTCTAGCTTATGGAGTGATTCAGGGCGTTGTGGATTGTATATATATTAATGTATATATACCTGTGTGTGTGTGTGTGTTTGTATGCATATAGCTGGAGGCAAGAAATATATTTTGAAGCAGCCATGCCTGGGAATATTGGGTATTTACATAAGTCCATAGCTTAGTGTCAGGATTGGCATACGGAACAGGTTTAAGTATCTTTTACACCAAACTCGGATTCTCTTCCGTGCACTGGGGAGAGGGTGTAGATTACTCCACGTGAGGTGGAATCCACTGTCTGTGGGGTTCAAGCACCATATGGATTGATCTATGCACTGGGGAGAGGGTGTAGATTATAGCACCGGGTGGAATCCACTCTGCTTATGGGGTCCACAATCTATATGGAGTGCTCTTCACCCTCCTTTAGGTCACCGGCGATGTTAACCACATGGAGTGTCATTTTTTTAGTTATATCCCGTTAATATGTTAGCAATAGATGAAAAATAAGTAACTGCAAATTTTGAAAGCCTAAAATTTTATACTTTACAATTCTATAACTACATAAATTTTGTGCCTCTCTAGATTAACAAACATATAAAATATGTAAAGTGATATTGTTCCATTCCTCGTTTTTGCAAATTGTTCATGCAAATCGTGTGTGCAAACCTTTAATTGTCAAGGAAATGGAACAATAAGTAAGAATGAGGAGTGAGTGGACCATATACCTTTTTAGTGGAAACTAAAGCGCATGGACCATACGTTGTTGGTGTTGGTTAAATTATACGAATTGTCTAGTTCTGGTGTACTGCAGATTTGATGGTTCGATTGTGCTGGCTTGGCATTCCATGTTCAGTGATTTGAGGGAACTGGAATCCCTAAATTAACCTTAATTTCACATGATATGTCACCTGAATTTTTTATTTATTATGATTTTTTTCCATTCTATTTTGCAGTTATAGAATTGTAGTGGGAGAGAACACTTAATAGAGGAGATTGAAATGTTTGTTGTGAGGGGAATAGGGGTTGACTTTGCAATGTAGAAGTCTCGTGCACTAAATTATCATGTTATGGTATGGGTATGTTGTGGTGTATTGATGTGATCAGTTTATGTGCCTAGAATGTTCAATTGACCAGTATACAGAACTTCCTCTTCCACTCTCTTTGAAAATGCGAAATAAAAATCGATTCTCTTTTTACTTTTAGATGTCCAAAGAAAAAAATATATATACATGTATATTATTTTCAGTACTGTATCTAACAAAACATCCAGAATAAAATTGAGAGATTATTTATTGAATAATCCAACAAGTAATTATAAAATTTGTAATTTAACATTTGTCCGGTATTATTACATGTGATATCATTGTTGATGTTGACATTTTCGCAACACTTTAGTTTTTCTTTACTTTTCAGAAAAGGAGATTAGTATATAATTTTAGATTTTTTTTTTTTTTTTTTCTTCTTGTAAACATCAATTTACAAAAATGTCTTATAAAAAATATTTATACACTTTCATTAAAGGAGATATTAGCGTGTTTTTTTATTTTATTTATTTGGCTCACTTGAATTCATATAATGGATCATATTATGCACGCTACAATATGGAGACAAGTCAGTATATTTTCAAACTTTCTGCTTTTGGGACGAGTGATTTGAAGGAAAAAATTTAAGGTTAATTTTTAGTAAAATTAATTTTAAATTACAAATATCACATTGAAATAATTTTCAAAAATTATTATCACTCCCATTACAAATATTTGATCCGTTTTTACTCACATTCCAAACGTTATTTTTTTAGTGGTTTCTAGACAACTTTTTGCATGTAAAATGACATTGTTATCCTTTTGACTTTTTGTTAATTTATTAAAAAATTATTTGATGAATAAAATGACACTTCTAGCCTCATTTCCAGTCAACATCAAACTATGACCAGAAATTCAGTCAAACTATTGCTCATGATATGTATTGAACCAGCTACAAAAAAAATTGACCCAAAATGTATATATACACATCAGATACTTACAACCATTAATCATAAAATTTGGCCAAGCTTGCATGGGAATCTTTTGAAACTAATGATTGAACTTCAAAAAAACGTAAATAAAGAGCAAAACAACCAAAAAAATCTGAACAAAAAGATAACGAATCAAAACCCACAACCCCATAGTTTGCAGTCGGCACATTATCTCATACAAGTTTATACACAATCAAAATAAAAGGTTGGTGGTTTTGTGGATGTCCAATGTCCACTCCTTCATGCGACCCACTAATCCAATATTTCTATAACAAAGTAGCAAAACTTGTTTTTGAATTAAAACTAGAGCAGTCATTTGAGGCAAGTTTCAATTAAAATTACTATTTCTATGTATATCTATATAAATATATATAAGAGTTTCGTTTTCTCCAAGCCAGCAAATCCGTGACTAGAGACAATAAAAGAGTTATAGGAGGTTCGGACGAGAGAGGTTTAGAAGATGATCACAAGGTGTTTTTATTATTGTATTTTACATTCCTAAATTTATATTTTTTGCATTTATATCCATAAAATTTTAAAATTACCCCAATTGAAATTATAAAAAAACCCCTCTATATAAATTTGCTCCTTCTCATATGAATTCCTAAATCCATCCTTGATTGTAGTGACCTCACAAATTGGACTGTTCGTTGACAAGTTATTCCTCTTCTATGTTGTTGTCACTATCGTCCTAAACGGTGAACCACATCACCAAGGGTTACCTCTTTTACATCGACGCCAAGTTGTTCCAAGACAATATGAATATATGGAAATAATCCAAGGTTGTGTTTTAAGGGGAATGGTTTGGAGTTGTAAGGTTGTAATTGGAGCTGTCGACAGGGATAATCGTCTGTAGACTGTGGCGGGAGTGTGTCAAAAGCAGAATTATGGAAAGAGAAAGAAAAGAGAGAGAGTTAAGTCACGTAAAAGCGGGAGTGAGAACGAATTCGAGAGCGGGAGTAAGAAAATAATAAAATTAAATCACAAATAGTGAGAACTTGAGCAAGAGCACGGACGGAGGGTGAGAGCGACACTTGTCGCGAATGATTGCGTGACTTAGAGAGGGACAGAAAACGTAATAGAAGAGTCCCCTTAGATAAAGATAGAGATAGAGGAGAGAGAAAAATGAGTGTATTGGTGGGGAGTGTGGTTAGTGGTGCTAGGTGGGAATAATAATAAGGGGTATAATGGTAATTAAAGTAATAGGATATTTTGAAATAAATGAGATTAAAAAATTAGGAGTAAAGTTGTCTTTTTCTATATTTTTAATAGAGACCGTGACGAAAAAGTAAAAATAGACTTAAGTGATAGTTATTTTTAAAAGATGCCTGAGAGTACTATTTGGTCAAATTTGAGGGGGTTTCAGTGAAATTAATCCCAAAATTTGTATTGATTAAAGTTTTTAATGAATTATGGGAACGTGTTAGATTTATATACAAATAACTACTGCCAGTGTCCGAAAATAAATATCGCTTTTGAAGAACCGTGAGTCACAAGTTTTTCAAAAGAGATATTCTTTTTGGGACAAAAGGGAATATGTTTGGAAGAATAGTAAAAATAATAGAGTGTATTGACTTCAGTTATTTAATAAAATTGTATTTAATGTTTGGGATTATAGTAAAAATAGATTTATAAAAATTGTAGTTCAAATTGTATTTATGTATAACACACTTATTTTTCTTAAATAATGAGTAAATTAATTCTACTGTAGGATTAGAAAATATTTTCAACTCAAATGACATCATTAATTTGGAACTCAAAGTTAGATGTATTATGTTTTTGTGTTCTAATTAATCTATATTATATTTTTAAAACTGCATTTAACTTGCATTCTTCTAACAAAAATAATTTTAAAATAATCACACCGTATATGAAAATATTTCAAACGAGTCACAATTGTGTAGTAAATAATAATAATTTAAATTTTAGGACACTTCTAATCTTATCCAATACATTCCACGCGTTATATGACCAACAGCCAGTGGCTTAACGGTATCAGACTCTTACTTTTTAAAAAAAGGCCAGAGATTTAAATTCCGGTAAAGACAAATGTGTGTTACTACCAACTAAAAAAAAAAAAAAACTATATGTGTGTTTACGTTGTTGGGTAATTGTTCAGTCATTTGTCAATGTCTATATTATATTTCAATACATTAGGTGGTCTGTAAAATAGTACTCTCAGCATTTGGTGAGACTTCATAAAGGCCGACATCAATTTTATTCTTTTGTTGGGATGGGGTAGCGTTGTTTACAAATTACAATGTATTCGACCGTCTTAAGATTAACAAATATATTAATTTTATCAAGTGTAGGACAGAGATTATTTCACGTAACCCTTTTTTACTCGTACCCTAATAAATAATGCTCACAACGTAACTCAAACTCATCACCTCCTCTTAAGTGAGAAGAGGTTACACGCGCACTATTTGCCATAGTCGTATTAATTACTTTCGAATGTGAATTCTACACGTGTATACTCTTTAAAATATGTCGATCCCATTTTGTGACAGGGTGAAGTGACAATCGTTGAGTTTCTTATCAAAAATTAACGTGGGGTGTTCTTCGTGGACCACAAAATACCATTTGTTGTTTGTAGCATTTGTTATCAAAAATCACACTTGGAAAGATGGGTTGCTCAAGATCAAATGTCATGTACACCTGGTACTAAATTACTATCTACCCCAAACTTGGAAAAAGAGATTTTTATGGGTAAAATTGAGTAGTAGTAGTACTTGGGATTACAAGTTCTCCAAGTGAGTGTGACTCAGTGATCCATCTTTACTAAGTACTTGCCACTGACAGAAAAGAACTTGAGACCTAACAGTTTTCAGAAAGAAAAAAAAAAAAATAAATAAATAAAAAGGTGGGAGTGGTGGTCATAATAACTGTCATTTATGGATCTCCCAATCAAATGAGGAATAGATGATATGGACCCATCCTCTCACTCAAATTGGATGGGACCACCCCCAATTATATTCCTTACATTTTGACTGATTTGAGAGCTCTTATCAAAACCCCACCTTTTATGGGAGTCTGGATAAGTGTCAACGTGGCCACACATTTAGAATTTTTTTTTAAAAAAATTTTGTGTGTGATTCTGCTTATAACCTACCCACGGGCACATTTTATGGCACATGAGGAGGCTAGGACCCACTGAATTGTGGACCCTCTTTCGTAAGAAATACTATTCTGAAAAACTGTTACTCTGAGTCACAATTTATTTTGGAAATTTTGATTCACAACTTTATTTATTGAGGGTGAGACCATTAAGAGATACCTACTCTAGCCTAATTAATAAATAAATTTTTTTTTTTTTAATTAGTACTCACACACACATGTCTTCATGGAGACTTGAACTCCTAACCTCCTTGCCATTCAAACTAGTCCAAATTTGAATTTCAAACCATTTTTAATCTATTTACAATGGTTAAAAATTAAAATTATTTTACTTAAGTTTGAGTTTGAATCCTCCACAATATAGTACACGTAAAGAATGACCTCAAAGGATCTTACCTCTATTTTAGTGACTCGAGCAACTCAAGTAAACACAATTAAATTGGTTGATTTGGGAAGTTCGAAACAACTCAAAAATGGCCAATGCCACATCTATAAGAAATCTTGAAAAAGTTAAATTAATAATTTATTTATTTCATCATGTAAAGCTGAGGTTGACCAAGGAGCTAAGAGTCACCAAATGGGTGAGTCCCGGTCCCGGTCCCTGATTATTAATTTTTCCTGAAATGAATCCAAATCCCTGAAAGTTGCTAAATCATAAGCACAGTCACTATCTACCAGACAACAGAAGTTACACTCTCTAGCTCAACAGAAGTAAGAAATTCAAATTCATTAGTGGTCTCAAAGAAAAAGAATAAAAATATAAGAGCCAACAGGTCAGCAATTCAAATATTTACAACTTCTAGCACAACAAAGAACGAGAAAAAACAACATAATAATCAAATTCTCAAAGAAATGAGGGTAAAAACCAGCTGCAAATAAATTTGTCAAGGAAAATGAATCAATATTTTTAGCAATTTATTCGTGGGAACCACAGATGAGTGTCCCTCAATAGTTTTCACACTATTAAGTCAATCGAACATTTCATACAATCTGCCAACAGAATAACCCAAGAAGGGGAAGAAAACTAAAACCACATACCTGACGAGGACCAGCAGACTTTGCTGGACATTACAGCATAAAGAAGGAAAAAAAAAAAAAAAAAACTCTGCTTTTTACGTACCGTCATGTCACAAGAGATGCATGACACAGTAACTCTCCATTATATCCCGCAATTTGATTTTACATCTCAATGAAAAATCAAGAAAGAAAACCTATACTGGAAAACTCAAGCTCAAACCTCACGTGAAATCCCTAGTAACTGCTCTCTGTGATGAGTTCTATAAAACAAGCACTCCAATTTGCTCTAATCGAAAGTTCTTTGAACTGAAATATCTCACCGAGGGTAACATACTTGATTCACTGTCCTTCGTATGGTTCACCTGATCTTCACCTATAATAAACGTTCTGACATCCATATAACATTCTTCCTAGGTAGCGATTCCTGCAGAAAATTATATTAAAAGGCACATTAATACCAGAACATAAAAATACTAACAATACTGTGTGCCTACCAAAGTAACTTGTAATCATAACTTAGGATACAAAAGAAGAAAGGAAACCATCATAGTGATGTTTGGTAATTCTGCCAATTTTTCATCCTTTTTTCGTTTTCCAAAGTTAGTAACTTGTGGTTGATCTGGAAATAATTAATGTTTTACCATACAAGGAATAAAAAGTTAAGTTGATTACTTAGTCTCAAGATAACCTCCATTCCAGGAAGAATACATCCTAAAAATATGGGATATGTTTGGTTCAGTTTCTGAGAACGATTTTACGTTTTCAAATAACTTAAAATCTGGAAAAACTACGAAAATTGCATGGTCAACAGTTTTCAAAGGTTAATCCAATGTGAACTGTCAACGAACACACAAATTAGCTATATATTATATTGTGTCCTAATATTGCATCCATCTAATGACCTATTTTTCCGATGGCTTGAAGTTACTTGGATGAGAAGATTGTACATGCATATGCATAGCGATGCTTACATATTTATAAATTATACAATATTCTAAACCATCTTATCCAATCATCTACCGTTGTCCCAATCTTTTTCTTTCCATTTTCCTTCTTTCGGTTTGGAAGTTTGAAAGAATCCAGTATGTCCTGTTTCTGTTATAAATTAGAAACCGTCAAGAAAGCAACTGAAATGAACTAAAATTTAGTTGGTGGCAATGCACCAAACCAAATTTCTCAAATCAAGTTGCAGATACTGTCCAATAGGACCACCGCTCAACCCAAATGTTTACTTAAGGATGATTTATGTGTTGCTATGGAAATGATCCCAATACTGGTGTGAGTTTATCAAATCAATAGGATTATAATGTTGACGCCTTTTTTAAATTAAAGAGAATTTTCATCAATAATCTTAAGATAGTAATGAGTAATATGAATAGTTCTGTAAAATAGATAATTGACAATGTGTATATGGCAAAAAGAATAGTATCCAGTCATTATGAACCTATGACAAGCCTAGGTTCTTGGCATCAAATTATCTACTTTGATTAGTTTTTGCATATGCTAGGGAAATTGAGCAAAAATCCAAGTAATATCTAAATGAAATTGGGATTGTTCTAGAATAGTTAAAGAACAATTTTCTTTTGTGTGTGAGAGTGTTTATGTGTTTGAGAGAGAGAGAGAGAGATAATTACCTCTATTTGATCTACTGGTAACACTATAACCACCAACATATCCGGTGGAGTTTCTAGTTGTAACATCTGAAGCCACATTTCCAAGCCCATAGCCAAAAGACCCAGAGCCCTCAAGCTCCGGAGAGGATGACCTCCAAGTAGGGTCCCCGTAAAAGGAACCACCTCCATAGAAGTTTCCAAGAGCCCCATCATTACCATTATTTGATGCAGCAGCATAAGCAGACGTTGGTGCCGGACTACTTCCACTGTTTCTTCCATACACTCCCCCTCCCAACCCAAAACTGTTGTCTGCATTGCCATAACTAATATTACTACTATTGTAGGCTGAATCAGTGCCTCCACCTTGACCTGTAACAGGAGATGAACCCCAAATTGCTCCAATACTATCAAAAGCACCAACCACTCCAGAATTCCCATTTCCAGAGTTTATAAAATCACTAGAGTAAGCAGAGCTTGTTCCATAGTTAAGACTCCCATTCCCCCACATGTTCCGACTTGGGGAACTTAAAACAGAACCAGTCCCACCACTACCACGGCCATACCCAATTGGGCTATTGTACCTGTTTGAACTCCCGCTATAAAAAGGGTTCAATCCACGTCCATAACCAAGGCTAGAACTGAAGTTTCCACTTCCCCCATGGTTTGGACCCATTCCTGGTTCAAAATTCAGTCCCATCCCAAAACCAGGACTAAATGGAGGATAGCCACTCCGCCCAACAGTAACTGGACTAAATCTACCATCCATTCTTACTCCGTAGCTCCCAACAGAGCTTGGGCTATACCCCTGAGTGTAGGCATTCAGGAAACTACTCACTCTATTCAGGCCATAGTTATATCCACCTAACTGGCTCCGACTTGGTCCTGGAGATAACTCCTTGGGAACAGCCCGCTTGACCTCAACCATTTTACCATTGAGTTCATGAAAGGTTTTGAGCAATGCTTTGTCAACTGCATCCTCTGAATCATAAGTGATAAATCCAAACCCTCTAGGCCTCTGAGTGTTGTGGTCATACATCACCACTACATCTGTGATTGTCCCAAATTGATCGAAGTACATCTTAAAGTCACTCTCTGTGACTGTGGATGCTAAACCTCCTACAAATATCTTTTTTGTTCGAATAGGGCCTGGGGACCCCTGAATGATTCCATTATTTCTGTTCAGAATGTGTTGTTGATCATCCCTAGGAACAGCCTTCTTTGCCTCAACCTAATATAGAAAGCCAGGTAATAAAAAAAAAATAATAATAAATAAAAAATAATACAATTTCACATTTAAAAAAGAAATAAAGTCTTATCCTTTAAGTCACTCTCCCTCTCCCTCTCTCTCTACAGTTGACGTTTCTGTTACCTCTACTACTTCCATTAACAAGAGTTATATAAGCATGATTCAGCAAATGATCACATGTCCACATCTGCAAGCAAAATATGATCTTTTGCCACCCTGTAAAAACTCTATGGTAAAAATTGAGTTACATGGATACTCTTGGCTAAAAAAATTACTAGATTATAATGCAACCATTCTCCCAACCACCACATATGGTAAAAATTCAGTTACATGGATACTCTTAGTCTTAGCTTAAAAAATTTCTAGACTAATGCAATCATTCTCCCAACCACCGCATTCGAAAGGCTAAATATTTGTGAGAAGATTCATATTACTAGCATTTAGCACTAGCAGTACTTTTCACTCTTTTCTTAATTTTTCTTCTAAGCATTTTACAGAAGAATCTCAGAAATAGCACATAGCACCAATCTTTATCTCTCCATAATTTCTTTTGGGCACTTTCTGATGCATGAATCAACTTTACTAAATCAATCTTTTACCAATGCTCGCACTACCTTGAAGGCAATTAAATTGCTGGATAAGTGCTTGACATTAACAATGCTAAAGAAGCATTCTATGTCTGAAGAATAATTGTAATGCTTTCTTTTGTAAAATAACTTTTCCGGCCTAATTAAAATTTTCTCTCTCAATCATGTCAAGTAACTAATTCAAACGCTGCTGTCTACTCTTATAGGATACATGAGCCTCAAAGATATATGATCTATGAAGATAAATGATTTTGGTGTAGACATCATTACAAGTAAACATATACTGGATCATTGATCTAAAAACACATGTTTAATCATTGATGCTCTGCTTAGTAATCTTATAAACTTTGTGCTTCAAGCAAAACTATGTATGTGCTTCACAACTTTTAAGATTTAAAGCTTCAATTCGAAATGTCAATAAATATGTTGATCAAGAGTTCAAATTGGCAAGTAAATAATATGTTTCAAGAGCACAACTTACAGTTCTACCATCTATTATGTGCTTTTGCATAACAACTCTTTCAGCAACAGCGGAGTCAGCGAAAACAACAAAACCAAAACCACGGGCACGGCCAGTGGTTCGATCCTTCATTATCACAGCTTCAACTACTTCACCAAAATTTTGAAAATACTCTCTCAAACGGTCTTCATTTGTGTCCCAAGAAATCCCACCAATAAACAGCTTTCCAGGCTCCATCTCCATTCTGCATAGCCAATTACCAATAATCCCATCTCTTAATTTCCCATCAAACAAATTCAATACATACATACACATATATATATACACAGACACACTAACAAATCTAACTTCAAAAAGGTAGAGCAATTTTTCATCTAAACAAATCAGGCAAAGTACCCTATAAGAAGTAAGTACAACTTGGATCTAATCAGTGACATATAATCGGACATAAGCACATATATGTATGATTCAATCCTGACATTTCATAATTCTCAGAGAGCATACAATTCAATTTTTTTTTATCGATAAAGACCATCCAATAAAAAACATCATAATGTAGATTGAACAGGCACAACCGTACCTTGACAAAGAATTTACCAGAAAGTTGGAGAGTTTTATGATTAGTTAAGTGATGGGTATTCTTAGATTCAATCGAAGAACATCGGATCTTTCGCAGATCGAAAATTGATCCAACAACAATCCACGATACCTGGAAAAACAAGACAATTGAAAATTTGACTTGGAAATTCAGAAAAACCCAGAAGTGTTTGGCATAAAGCATACCAATTGAAGAAGACCCAGATGAGAAAAGATGAGAATCTAAGATCTGAGAGGAGACATAACAAGAGCAGAGGGCGAAAGGCCCCCCTTTTCCTCTCTCTTCCTTTCTTCTTCCAATTTACCGTTGATTCAATTGGCAATGATACAATGAGTTTTCGTCGAGTGGAGAGAGAAAAGAAAAAAAGAGAGAAGGAGAGAGAGGAGAGAGAGGCTGTATGAGGAGACGGATTTACATCTCCAAATGTGTAATAGTATATATAATATATAAATATAGAGAGAGAGAAGAGAGAGAAAGAGAGGTTCGGCTATCCTCTCGTGTAAGAAATATAGAAGCGGAGACGATGGAAGATGGTGACTTCGCAGTTTTAGTTTTAATTTTAAAAAATGAGATAAAAATTAAATAATTAAAATTACTCCTTTAGGTAAAAAAAGTATATAATTTATTTTTGGATTCTTTAATTTTGCCAAAATTCCCTCATGTCTTGTATATTCTATTTTTGTCATTAATGATGCTAAATATTTTCAATCCAATACTCTAATTATAGCAAAGGATTCGTGTTAATGGAAAATTCCAGCTGCTCCATGGGCTAGTAACTTCAGAGGTAAGGATTAAAGCCAATTTGGTTTTTAACCACATTATACACGCATGTATTTGAGTGTTGATAGAGAGTTTGACTCATAGTGATTTTTTTGACTTTTTTAAATGTAAAAACATTAATTTATTTTCTCATGTATATTTGATTTTATTTATTTATTTATTTATTTTTTTGGTTACCTTATGTTTATATTGAATTAAAATCAAGGTTTTAAACATGCCCTAGGATGTCGAAATTCATGTCAAGATCTTAATTCAAATTTGATCTTAGGGACAGTATCCATATCTATCTCATATAATTAAAGTAAGATACAAATAGAGTGAAATATGTTTGATTGGAGTCAAATTCAGAATAAAATTTGTAACGGATCTTTTGACAACAATTCATATTTAACCCTTTTGAATTCGAGATTCAAAACTAAAATTCAAAATTGGAAAAATGAACTTTACATCAAATCAAATCTCAGTGTCACACTTTCCATTTTAATCTTTAACACATGCAACACATATTACTCTTTCTAAGTTGACTCTCATTCACGTAAACAATTGATGAAATAATACTCTCCCATTACGCTATATAAATTTTAAAAACTAAAAATGCATCCTTAAGAAAAAAATTATGATTGATTTCCTTTTAATTTACCTCTTAAACGGAACTAAACCATACTATGTACACTTTTAACTTAAATTGACATTGTAAGATATTTTATTTATATATAATTCCATTTTTTTTAAGAGATAATACATTCTAAAATAGTATTTCTTACAGTGATGTTTTTATATCTTGCCTATTGATGATAAGGTCCAATCACAAATAAATATATAGTTGGTGATTACAAAATCAGAAAAGTTATATATAAAAATTTTGAAATTATTAAAAAAAATGTTATTTTCCTTATTTATTATTTTCTTAATTTTATAGTTACAGAATATGTACATTTGTTATTGGACCACATCAGTTATAAGTAAAAATGACCTACTCACAGATAAATAGGTAAATATTATTCTTACAAAATATACCAAAAGAGAATTAGAGACAAACCTAAATTTAACATTATATTACATATAGTGGCCCATGTAAAACTCGAATTTGTGTCATCACAGATGTGCATTTCAATTGTTACACCAAACAATGACCGGAATATAGTTTATTTTTTTCTCTAATTAAATGACGTCTTAAGCATACATGATGTATATGAGAGTTGTTTTAAACGCAAAAGTAAACAGCAAGTGTAATCTACCAAGTACTTAACCTTTATTGGAAACAAAGATTGGAAATGAAATATTATTCTTTAAGTTAATGGATTAATGTATGTGAAAATTCATGAATAATTTTTATTTCCACACATACCACACCATATATTTGAAAATATTCTCAAATTGCAAAGACATATAAAATAAATCATAAAAAATCAATTATAAATAGATAGGACCCTCTAATTCAGATCATCTCCAATACTTTCTTGTGGAGGGACATTATGAGTCGCATCCTGTATCGCTAGTGCAACACACTAAATCGCAGTACAATAGCGTCACGATATAATGTAATTGTTGCATCAGCAATAAAAATTGTTACATAAACGATGTAAAAATATAAGACACGACACAAGATGAAAAGACACGTAAAAGAATAAGAATTCTTAAAAACGTCTAGTGTATAATATTTATTTTCTTTATTTTCTGTAATGGGCTGTCATGTTACATTATTTAATTTACAAATACACCAACATGCTTACTTCATATGGAGGCAAGGGATGATACATCACGAGGACGGTGTACTCTGTCAAAGTACTCACTTTTAAATGATTTTCAATTTTCGATGCATTTTCTAAATACTTTCCAAATTGAGGGACAAATTTGCAAATTTTGGAATGCTTACAAATGTTTGGATTTGAGTCATGTAGATAAGATAGTCATTTTGAAAATCACTTTATAGTTTATATGCTTAATGTGTGTGTGTGTATATATATATATCTTATAAAAAATTTTAATATAAAAATGAAATAAAGTGGGTGATGTGTGAAGGACAGAAGGGATTGCTTGTGCGCCCACTCATCTTGGAATAGAACAGGTAGACGCCTCAACCTATATTTACACACACACACACATATATATATAATTATATGGTGCACATGTATGACGTTATAGCCATATGGTTTCATGACCATAGCCCTGTGAATTCTTTCCATTTAAAATAATAATTGACAATTAAAAATAACCCCTTAACCGTCCATCAAGTAGAACTTTCTTATCATATCACGAGTCAAACCTTCTCTTTAGTTGTTGAACCTCATTTATCAGATGGTGGTAATGCCTCAATCAATTTCTTATATGGTTTGGTGTCACATATTTCAATTTTGGGTGACACTGTAAATAAATTTGGACACCCTAAAATAAGTGCTAGCATGTATTACAAGTCAAGTTGACAAACATGGTTCAATGCATCACTTTGCTATTATTAATTTGACATGGAAAAAATATATATATTTACTTTGAAATTTTCTCAAGTTTGTTCAAATCACACAATACAAAATATTATATTATTTTGTATTATTAAATTACTCGTTAATAGGGTTTGATTAAATTAGGTACAAATTATATATAGCATGATGAAATTTTTACTCAATATTAATGCAGTGTCCTCAATTTTGAAGGTAATTATTTTGAATAAACCGAATGTTTGCACCAACTTGAATGTTCATATATATATATATATATAATGAATGATCAATGTACTCGTTAGTACAGAGTTGCTTTATGTCTACTGTCCACTCAAGTACATATATAGTTCATTTACTGTGTGAACTATAGCTATATTATATGTCCCAATGCCACTTCCTGGTAATATTGAGCTGTTCCATCATCCCATTTCTGCCCACATCTCATATAATTTCGTGTCTCATATAAAAATAATGAACATGAATATGAATGTTATGTGGTGGATTTCTTTCAGTAATGTCTAATTTGTAACCGTAAATATATTTTTCTGATAAAGAACTCTAGTATTACGCCTTGAAAAGACTCGGACCATCCACTCAGTGTTAAAAATACTGCGTAAAATATTAGATTCTGATTGGTACTCGGTATTTTTTTTTTTTTTTTTTCAAAATTTAGTAGTATGTGTTTACACCCTATATTTTAGCCAATGACTAATTAACACGTGGCGAGTTTTACATAAAACTGGTCATATATCAATTTTGTTTACACCATAATTATCAGCTACTTTCCAGTGAAAGGTTGCCGTGGTCGATTCCAATGGAAAGGTAATACGACGTTCCAGTGGAAATCAATTCAAGGTGGACACGTGGCTTAATAAAAGGGCCGCAATTACAATTATTTGCACCACAATCATCGGTCACTTTCCAATGGAAAGTTGTTGTGGCCGATTCCAATGGAAGGGTGATATGCAAATGTGGCAGTCAAGAAAGTAAGCGGTTACATGTAAATGGAAAATCATGGGACACGTGGTAGCCTAGAAAACAAGCAGTTACATTTAAGTGAAAAGTCATGTGATATATGGCAGTCAAGCGGTTACATTCAAGTGGAAAGTCGTGGGACACGTGGTAGTCAAGGAAGCAAGCGGTTACATGCAAATGGAAAGTCGTGGGACACATGACAGCCAAGAAAACAAGCGGTTACATTCAAGTGGAAAGTCGTGGGATATATGGCAGTTTAGGAAGCAAGCGGTTACATGCAAATGAAAAGTCATGGGACATGTGGCAGTCAAGGAAGCGAGCGGTTACATACAAGTGGAAAGTCATAGGACACATTGCAGCCAAATAAGTGAGCGATTACATTCAAGTGGAAAGTCATGGGACACGTGGCAACTTAGGAAGTGAGTGATTACATGCAAGTGGAAAGTCATGGGACACGTACAGCCAAGGAAGTGAGCGGTTACATACAAGTGAAAAGTCATAAGACACATAGCAGCCAAGGAATCGAGCGGTTACATTCGAGTGGAAAGTCATAGGACACATGGCAGCCAAGGAAGCGAGCGGTTACATTCGAGTGGAAAGTCATGGAATATGTTAACAACCATTACTAAATTCTATAAATAGGGCGTGCTATTGTTACTTAGAAGGCATGTTCAAACACAACACAATTACAGTAGCATTTCAATACAATCTTTATTTCCATTGCAATGCACTTTCAATATGTCTAACTTAAGTCATGCACTTTATTGCTTTACATTCCAGTATTTTACATTCAAATTATTTACTTGCAAAAGTAATGTATTTCTTCCTAGCCAAATAGTAGTCCCGAAATCCTTTTTCAAAGGCAAAAAGAACCCAGAGGTGTTCATTTCAAACCTCTTCATAATCGCCTGTCTTGCAATCTTACGTCTAAAATATTGTTTGGATCTCTCTTTGAAACTATAGTAGTTCCTGGTACGCCCATCCGATTATATAGGAATCGACCATTTTTACAGGCCAAACAGTATGTTTTACCTGCAAATCATGAATCCAATCAGTGTACTCCTTCTCTAGCTGTAGTAGATCATATGGTACTCTCTGCAAAGTATGCCTTGAGAGGTTAAGAGATAACATTTGGGCCCTTCCTGGAAGTGAAAGGGTTGTTTTCATACTGTACTTTAGATTAGGGATATTAATTCCCTTCAAATGATCAATAATAATATTACCTTTGCGATCAATTATATTCAACTCTTGCGAGATTTTACATAATTACAAGGATCTTTCTTATTATATTGAATGAAATTTATAAAAAGTTATTT